AGCTACAGTTCCATTCAGAGAATGATTTTTTTTTTTTTTTTTTGTACCAGGGATGGCCCTTGTGCTTGCAAGGCAGGTGGTGGAACCACTGAACCAAAATCCTTGGCCCCATGTTTTGTTTTGTTTTTTTTGTGAGAAGTCTTGCTGTATAGCCCAGGTCCTGCCTCAGCCTCCAAGTGGTGAGATTATATGTGTACACCACTATGCCTAAGAATGACACTGTTAAATCAATACCAATCAGCCATGCCTGGTGGCATATGCCTGTAATCCCAGCGCTCTAAAGGATGAGGCAGGAGGATCGCTGAGTTCAATGCTAGCCAAAGCCATATAGGGAAACCATCTCAGAAAACAAAACAAAAACCAACAAATCTTATAAAGACTGTTCCTGTTTCCATACTCTTCCCTAAAGCCAGGAGTAGCACATGACTATAATCTCCGCATTTGAGAGGCTGAGGCAGGATTGTGAGTTAAGGGCAGCCAGGTCTACACAATGAGATCCTGTCTTAAAAAACAAAACAAAAAACCCAAGCCCATTTCTCAGGGTTGGGGGTGTAGATCAGTGTGAGGCCTTGAACTCAATCCCTAGCACAAACAATCCCAATCTCAACCCCTCTACCTCAGTTTACAAGGCCTGGTCCCTGCCCTCCAGGACAATCACGTTTTAAAACTGTTTTAGTTGTTGTTGTTGTTTTTATCTAGCGTGCTACATTCCAACTACACCAGTCTTTTTGTTTCTTGAATGCTCTGGATTCCTTCTCACCAGGACCTGTAGGACCTTCGCAAAAGCTTTCCGTGCCTGAAAAGTTCTTTTACCTTTGCACTACTGGTCCTAATTCCTCATGTCTTTGCTTTAGATCTCACTTCTCAGAGAATTCTTCCTTGACTACCCCACAAATATTCTCTCCGGCGTTGTATTCACTGTCTGTTCATAACTGCTTTAGCAACGTCTTCTTTATTGTATTATTCTATCTTCTAAACTCCGAAAGGGAAAGAACCACACCTGTTTTGTCATCACTGCACACCCAGCGCCCAGAGCCTGACTTTTGCAGCTGACGCTCAACATGTGTTCAACGAAAGAACAAGGGGGGCCGGGGATTTAGCTCAGTGGCACCGCGCCTGCCTCACAAGCACAAAATCCCGAGTTCGATCCCCGGTACCAAAACAAAAATAAAACCCAGGGAACCTCACACGCAGCTGTAGCGCTGAGGCTGGTGGGGCGTGGTCCCCTTGGGGGCGGAGTCTCAGCGCCCGGACTCCCCGGAAGCGTGGGCGGGGCTTCCCAGAGTGGTGCCACGCCTCGGGGCGGGCCTAACTGGGGAGCAAAGTCGTGGCTTCAGTTAGGGATTTAATTTCCCTGTCCCCCTAACAGTTTCCTCCCTCTGAGCCCTGGCTCACCCGAAGGCACCTCTCCCCACCACTCGGATCCGCTCGTACTTCTCCATCTCATTTCTCAGATACGCTTCCGGAACCTCCCGCTCGGCGCGTGCGCGGACCTGTCCACTCTGGAGCACCGCCCCTTACCCTGCGCGATGTTTGCTGGGCGGTGCTAGTGGAATTGTGAGAGTTCGAACTACAGTAGCATCTGCGTTTGTGGTCTTGCAGTGTCCCCCGAACGGCCACGAAGTCGTTTTTCCCTCACGATTTTGCCCCACGTGTGCCCCAGGAATAAGATAACTCCCGTTCTTTTGCGCACTCCTCAGTGTTCAGTACGCTACGAGCTGTTTTTCACACACGCAGCTCGATCCGGTCGGCTATTGCGGAGCTTAAACTGGAAGCGAGGTATACCGCGCCCCCAGTGTTGCCTCCCGAAGGCCGAAAGGGAGTGATGAGAGGACCGACCTTCCGCTGCCCATGTGTGACGGTATTTTAGGAGGATAAAGCGAATCCTCTTCGGCACCCAAGCAAGAAACAACCAAACTGAACTGAGAGTAGCGCTCCCAGTCTGTGGAACAGGGAATGGGTAGTTTCGTGTTTGCCTAGGGAGGGACCGGGAAAATCCCGAGTTGTGCAAATTGATTCACCTGGGGAGGACTTGACGCGGTCTCCAGGCTGAGCCGACTGAGCACTGAGCTGATCATCGCGCTCAACGCCCAGTCACCCCAGAAGCTCTGTGGCTGGAGCAACAGCTCCTCCCCTCGGGGAAGGTGGGAGGGGGTGCGGACCAATATTGGAAAGAGTCTGGGAGGAGTGGAAAACACGCTGTTTGGCCTAGTAGGATTCATTTCTTATGCCCGCGCCGGCGAGGTAATGCAGGCCTGGAATCGAAGCACTTGGGAGGCTGAGGCAGGAGGATTACAGAGTTCAAGGCCAACCTGGGCCACATCACCAGACTCTGTCTCAAACACAAAACAAAACCAAAACCACAAAAACCCAAAGCAACCAACAAATTTAATTCTGCCCAGAGGTTAGGATTAGGGTTAGTATGACCCACTAGGATCTCAGGGTCTCAACTCAGAAGTTAGTTTAATTCCAGCCTCTTCCTGGCACCTCCTACTCTGCCAGAGCTCTATAAAAACTCAATAGTAAACCGGGCGTGGTGGCGCACGCCTGTAATCCCAGCACTGGGGGGCTGAGGCAGTAGGATCGCTGTGAGTTCGAGACCAGCCTGGGCTACATGGTGAGTTTCAGGTCAGTCTCAACTACATAGTGAGACTCTGTCTCAAAAACAAAAACAAAACAAAAGTATTAAGTGGCATATGCCTGTAATCCCAGCACTGGGGGGCTGAGGCAGTAGGATCGCTGTGAGTTCGAGACCAGCCTGGGCTACATGGTGAGTTTCAGGTCAGTCTCAACTACATAGTGAGACTCTGTCTCAAAAACAAAAACAAAACAAAAGTATTAAAAAGGAAGATGGTCATTAATTAGCAGAGGATCCCTATTTCAGAGTGGGCGAAGAGCTGGTGGCACGTGCCTGTAATCCCAGCACTTGGGAGGCTGAGGTAAGAGGATGGTCATTAGCAAGACCCTGTGTCAAAATAAATAAATAAAAATTTAAAAAATTAAAATAAATTAAAAAAAGATAAGGAGGAGTTTTATACTCTGCTGCCACCCTGCTCCTCAAAAGGGTACCCAGCCCAGCCCGTGGGGGAACCTGGACGACCAGAAGACCGGTCCCCAGAGTCCAGGCAGTCGCTGGTGGCCACTGGGCCAGGCCAGCGTCAATTGGCAGACAAGCTGCCCTGTAAGCAAAGGGGGGAAGCCACTCACCCTGTACTTCACGCTCCTGCTTAGAAACCAAATGAGCCTTGTGTGTCTCGGCAGTCCCGCGGGGTTAATGTGTAACCTCAGAGCGCTCAGGGGAGACAGCAAACACCCAATCGACTTGGTGTCTGAATCTCGGGCTCTCACCTTCACGCAGCGCCCTTCTCCTCGCCCCACTTCTCCCCTCCTCCTCTCCATTGCTGCACACACACAGACCTCTTACTCTTCCAGTCTCCTCAGCCTAGGGCGAGGATGACGAAACTTGAACGTTTTTAGAGACCAAGTGTCCAAACTGCAAACCAAACCCACTTATTTATTGCAAAGTGCCAACACTGCAACTAAACCTGAATACTTAGATTTTAGTTTAGAAAAAAAACAACTCATACATTATCATCTTTTGTTTTAAAAAAGAAAAACTAGGCTGGGGGTTTAACTCAGCGGTGCTACCACCTGCTTCACAAGCCAAGGTCCCAAGTTTGATCCCCGGTGCCAAAAGAAAAAAGAAAAACAACAGAACTTTCAATTATACAAACAGCTTTTTATTGAAATGTAAACGTTTGCATTTGTCCTGCTTTTGAACAGTTCATGTGATCTTAGCTGTTGAATAATGCTAATAATTTGCCAAACCTTGGCTGGGGCGACCTGGTTCTAGGCTTGCCAGAGAGGGCTCTGCGTGCACAGAGCGGCCCTGGCCTAAGGTTTGCGCGATTTTCTCCCCCAAAACTGCTCTAGTCGTTTTGGAGTTGGGATCCCTCGCCACAGTGAGGACAGGCTGACACCTAGTGGGCGAGAGCCGCAACTGCTTCAGGCCACGGGCCTGGAGAGAGAATCAATCCAGCTGTCTGGGCAAATCCGGTCTTCTCCGCCCCAGCCTCCAGGGAGCCAGGAGACTAAGGCTGGGACGGTCTAAAGGAGGACTGTGACAGCCGCTTGGGCTCTGGGGCCCAAGAGAGAGCCGAGAAACGGGATGATGGGTGACTCAACAGCTCCTAAGAACCACTTGTGCGGGGAGAAAGAGGAAAACAAGTCGCTCTGAGGCCAGGGGCGGCACGGGGTCTGGGCGGAGCCATTGTTCGAGGCGGGGCTTCCGACCCTTTCCCGGACCAGGGTTTTGTAGGGTAACCGGACGCGGATGGGCCCCGCTCAGCTCCGCCCAGAGAGGAGTTGAGGCTGAGAGGGCTTTCGCAGAACCCGCCCAGGGATGGCCAGCCGGCGACCCAGGAGAAAGTTGGGACGCGGACTAGGGCCGTGCGAGCGCGGGCGGCCCGGGGCTCTTTCGGCCGTCAGGAGGCGCTAGCGAGGGATGTCTCCGCCGCGGCGCCCCCAGGACAGCCCCTTCCCGCCCGAAGTTGGCGGGATCAGGGCGGGGCTCCAGAGGCCCCGG